TCAGGGGTTTTCAACCAGTGTGCCATGGGCAACACTAGACTCTGTCCCTCTTTCCTTCCCTCCCTCCTCTGATGCCCTCTTGCTTTTCTGCCTCCCAAAGGTTTGTGTGACTGTTTGTTGCTGCAGCCCTGGCTATAAGCTCCCCAGGCGAATGGTGCCTCTGGGGCTGGCCAGGGGGTGCTGGTTCCCAGGAGCTGAGGCGGCCAGAAATTTAAAAGGCACTAGCCTTTGTTGTTGTTTAGTCGTTTAGTCGTGTCCGACTCTTCGTGACCCCATGGACCAGAGCACGCCAGGCACCTCTGTCCTCCACTACCTCCCGCAGTTTGGTCAAACTCATGCTGGTAACCTCGAAAACACCATCCAACCATCTTGTCCTCTGTCGCCCCCTTCTCCTTGTGCCCTCCATCTTTCCCAGCATCAGTGTCTTCTCCAGGGAGTCTTCTCTTCTCATGAGGTGGCCAAAGTACTGGAGCCTCAGCTTCACGATCTGTCCTTCCAGTGAGCACTCAGGGCTGATTTCCTTAAGAATGGATGCCTTTGATCTTCTTGCAGTCCATGGGACTCTCAAGAGTCTTCTCCAGCACCATAATTCAAAAGCATCAATTCTTCGGCGATCAGCCTTCTTTATGGTCCAGCTCTCACTTCCATACATCACTACTGTGAAAACCATGGCTTTAACTATACGGACCTTTGTTGGCAAGGTGACGTCTCTACTTCTCAAGATGCTGTCTAGGCCTGTCATTGCCCTTCTCCCAAGAAGCAGGCGTCTTTTAATTTCGTGGCTGCTGTCACCATCTGCAGTGATCGCACTAGCCTTTATGAACATGCAAAATTTAGTTCTTTTCATCTACACGTTACAATGGAGCTATGTATAATATTAGTCCACTTCTCTGCTTCAGAATTGTATTGGGAAGTGATTTGCAGTGAAGAAATGGGTGGTGGGATGCTTTGCTCACCTAATGTTTTCCCCTTGAACTACCCCTAACTGCTTTTTCCCTTGAAGGGTTTGAGGTTAAACATGGACTCAAAGCCCCACAGTGATAAAAGAATCTGGGAAGCAAGTTTCAGGAGAAACTTCAGGAAAATCAATTGGGGGGGGGGTTAAGCAGCCCTGATCCGCCCTATTTCTCAACTGCATAAATCTCGTTCCTGAGGATGGTTTCATAGAATTGTAGAGTTGGAAGGGACCCCAAGGGTTATCTAGTCCAACCCACTGCAATGAAGGAGTCACTGCATCCCTGACAAACGGCCATCCAACCTTTGTTTAGAAACCTCCAATGAAGGAGAGTCTCCAACTTCCCAAGGGAGACCGTTCCACTGTCAAACAGCTCTTACCATCAGAAAGTTGAAATAAATAAAAAATAAAATAAAAAAATGTCCAGTAACAACTTAGAGACCTACTAAGTGTGTTCTGCGTAAGCTGTGTGCATGCACATTTCTTCAGATACGAAAAGCTCATTCCCAGAACAAACTTAGTTGGTCTCTAAGGTGCTACTGGACAATTTTTTATTTTTTTATTTATTTCAACTGTGTCAGACCAACACGGCTACGTACCTGCATCAGAAATTTCTTCCTGATATTTCGTTGGAATCTCCTTTCTTGTAACTTGAATCCATTGGTTCAGGTTCTACCTTCCAGAGCAGGAGAAAACAAGTTCCCCCTTCCATGTGACAGCCCTTGAGATGTCTGAAATCTCTTTTCCAGGCTAAACGTAACCACCTTCCTCATTGGTTCCAAGGGAGTCTGTTCTGCTTAGTTCCATAAAGTTCTTCCTAATATTTGGTCAGAATCTCTTTTCTTGTAATTTTAATCCCCTCGTTCAGGACCTATTCTCTGGAGCAGCAGAAAATAAGCTTTCATTTATCTGAGTGTTTATTGTTGTTTTATTTTTATTTTTATGTAATTTTATGTCATACGCTCTAATGTAAACAAAGATATATCTCAGTGCAACCATGTTAAACAGTTAAAAGAGGAAAAGTAATAATAAACTATGTTACCTGTCAGGGAACTGCCATCGGAGCCTAGAGTGGAGGTAAGGCTCCCCAACGATGCAGGACAAGGGACCAGCAGGGGGAGAGAGAACACTTCCTTTGAGGAAGGAAATAGGAGTGACACCAGGAAGCAAGGGGGAACTGCGGAGAGAGGGCTCCAAGACTCTTCCACAGAGACCAGCGGGGAGAGCACAGGACCTCCGTTGGGCACGCCCACTCTGCACAGGAGACTTCCACGCAGGGAGGCGAGGAGGAGACTTGGCGTCAAAGAGTTTCTATGTTGGAAGAAGTTCAGGAAACGCCCACTGACAGATTCTGCCAGCGACTGACACAGCCATGGAGAAAGGGCTGTCCAGCCAGTGAAAGGTTTAGCCAGGCTACGTTGCCTAGAACAGTAGCACCCTTTACGCACAAGCAACCCCCAACAACCTTTACATTACCAAAAAAAGAAAAAGCTTGCTTTATCTTCCATGTGATAGTCCTTCAGATATCTGAAGATGTCTATCATACCACTTGTCAGCCTCCTCTTCTCCAGGCTAAATGTACCCAACTCCCTGAAACATTCCTCATAAGTCGTGGTTTCCAGACCTTTTATTATATTGGTTGTCCTCCTCTGCACATGTTCCAGTTTGTCAATATCCTTCTTAAACTATGTTCACTGGTGGAGAAAGGGGGGTGCGGCGGGTGCGGCCTGCCCTGGGTGTCATCCCTGAGGAGGGGTGACATCGCCGCAGGCGGCACCCCCCTTGGGATGCTTGCTGCCGCTGGCACAACCCCCTGGGATGCTAGCCCCGCCCCCGCCACTCCGGGTACCTGCTAGCTCCGCCTCTGACTGTGTTGCCCAGAATTGGACCCAGGACCCAATATAGTCTGACCAAGGCAGAACAGAGCAGTACTACTACTTCCCTTGATCTGGACACTATATTTATGTTGATGCAGCCTAGAATAGCATTAGCTTTTTTGCTGCTGCATCACATTGTTTACTCATGTTAAGGTTGTGGTCTGCTAAGACCCCCTCAATCCTTTTCACATGTGTCACCCATCCAATTTCCCAAGGGAAGTACATTTTGTTAGTTTTGGCCCAGTTCTCCATTCTTTTTTTTTTTAAAGATATTTATTGGAATTTTCCACTTTAATACATTAAAAAATCAAAAAAGAAAAAACAAAAAAGTTAAAAACACATAAAGTTTACAATCCTTATCTTTCTATAACATATTTCCCAGACTTCCCCACACCTCCCCTTCTTATATTCCAATTCAAATTGTTAGTTCAACAAGTTCTTATCCCCAATTTTTGAACTTTTTATATTTAGTTCATTTTAGAAAAACCAATTTTACCTTATAAACATCAATATTTGTACATCAGTGCTCATTCTTAAAACCTTTTTCTAAAGTCGACCCAAATTCCCTTCCACGAATTCCCCAATTATCATACTAATAACAAAACAAAGTAAAAAAAAACAAAACAGATTATAATTATGCACCCTTTCGATTCACAAACCCCACCCCCCACCCTTTCCCGGTTTTAGTCCCACAAATGTCCATCAGTCTTAATCTATTATCAGCCTGGAGATCTCACGTCCGAGGCCCTTAATTCTCTCTCAATTCCTCTCTGCCGGTTTTTTGGGTAATCCTTAGTATTAAGCACCAAATCTCGGAGAAGCTCTGGCCCAATGGGGTCCATGTTTCTTCCAGCCAGACCTCCATACTTAAAAGTGGAGCCCGAATCTTGTTTCTTACTCCTTTTAAGTCCAAATGTCCCCAAAGCTCCAACTTCCACCTTAATCAAATTTGTAATCCATGGGTCTTCAGATCACCACATGAGGAGATCTCTCCATTCTTCAATCTCCAATTCAGACCAAATTTTCATCATCAAGTACTTATTTTCCTTTGTAACCATCATGTCAGGCCTCTGGCTCTCCTTCATCATCTGCAACATTACATCTCCTCCTTCCTTTTCCTCAGAAACAACATATCTCTCTTTCTCCACACTCTCAAAGCTCTCAAGTTTCTCTTCTTGTCCAGCTGCATGAGCTTCCTGAATCAAGTCCTTATCAAATTCAATGAGTTTGTTTACTGTTAAATCCAGAGTTGCAACATTGGTAGCCAAAACATCAATTTGGCCTTGTAACTTTCCCAAGAGAAGAAAAACTCTGTCCAATTTAGCTTGAATTTTCCCTCCTTCAGCCATTCTTGTAATGTCCCAAAAACCCCTCTAGAGGGATTTTGGTTACTTAATATTCCTTCCAGTTCAAATCCAAAAATCAAGTTAGTTTGTATCAATTCTTCCTTGTTTTCAACAAAATGTAACCAAATTGTAACAAATATAACCAGCAGAGACAACAGAAACAAAGTTCTCTTTTTCCGTCTTGACAGCTAATTTGACAGCTGTCAAACTCCTCAATACCTCTTCAACAGGCTCTCTCGCGGGTTACTCCCGGGTCCAGGGGGGGTGGCACTTCAGCTCCCAAAATTAGCTCTTATCCTCCAGTAAAATTGCTTATACTGCCAAATCGTGGAATTAATGTCTTTTACCCAATAAACAAGAAAAAATTCTCTCGACCTTAGTTAGCTGATCCTTGCTTTAGATTATTTACAAGACGGGGAGACGGACTTCCTGTTTGCGCCTTCTCCGATCGTGCCTAATTTAAAAAAAAAATTCTTTGTAAATCCAATTTCCATACTACTCACGGTTTGTTGCTTTTAAAGTCCAATTGTTCACAAGAAGAAGTCAGCGCTCTCCAACCATGGCATGCGGCTTCACTCCGCAGGAGAAGCAGTCGACTCTCAGCACCGCGCCGCTCACCCCGTCCCCCATTCCAAAGCCTTTAAAAAGGCTCCTTCGCGGGTTGGGGGGGCGCAAATGGTGCCCACCGAGTCACCAAGTTCACAGGCTTCACCGCCTGTGATTTCTGAGGGTCCCCGCGTCGCCGCAGCGGCAAGACCCAACTCCTGCGGAGCCGATTCCCTCCGGAGCTCGGAGGGAATCCGCCATTAGCCGATGGCGCTAACCCGGAAGTCCCAGTTCTCCATTCTTTTAAGGTCATTTTGAAAACTCCCAGTTTGGTGTCATCTGCAAATTTGATGAGCATCCCCCCTAGTCCTTCTTCAGGGTTGGTTTGTAGTGGAGAGGCAGCTGGCATGCTAACTGTACTTACAGTTGGGCTGTAAAACATAGTTTTTACCTTAGTGTAACTACAGTGAGTTCAAACATTAGATATGAATACTATAATGATTTTAGAATGCATATTGTAATTGTTAAATGTTTGCAGAATTTACGGTTCATTTTCCTACCCTACAGGGAGACCTGGGAAAGACAGGTATTCCTGGCGTGCCTGGAGAGAAAGGTGAAAGAGGTGTTCCAGGAATTCCAGGCATCCCTGGCTCCCCAGGTGCCAAAGGGCTGCCAGGTCTTCAGGGTTCTCCAGGTAAGTGACCCAAAGCTTCTTTCAGTATTTTATGATAAAGCTAAGCCTAGTAAGTACTCAGCTGACAACACTAAAACCTTATATTTCTTTATTATAAAGGTATTCCAGGAATCCCAGGTGAAAAAGGTGGAAAGGGATTACCAGGCTTAGATGGTTTTCCTGGCTTAAAAGGAGAAAAAGGTAAATAAGTAATATTTTTGAAGTCAAAATTGCTATTTCACTCTAAAAACAGCAACATAATGGTTACTCTTTGTGATTTACACAGCATTTTTAAAAAATGGATGTTAAGGGCATGTGGATTTTTAAAATTAGAAGGCAAAAATATAATTTGACAAGTATGTTAGACGTTCAACAACAGAGATAATTCAGTGTATAATTTAAGAGTGAATTCTGTTTTCAATAAACCAGCTAATGGGGTAAATTAGGGAGGTTCTGTCTTTCCTACTTCAGGCTTTCCTGTTTCTTTCTCCCTCCCTAATTTACCCCCATCTTTCTCTTAAAATTATACAAGATTTTTGTTCAATTCCCTCAGTAAAATGTTATCAGAATATCTTTTCTCTATGGATTTCAGCTGCCTTATTTAAGTGACTTTGCTAACAAAAGAAAGCAAAGCTTTGCAAGCCAAGCTTATAGAACTCTTCTGTGTTGCAGTTCTGGCTTTATATAACATAATTCTGGACCATATTAGCCCATATTGGGAACAGATTTAATAATGCCTAAGAGCCTTAAAAGTGGATAAGATGATAATCAGATGCTTCAATAGATGACCAGCACATTCTCATAATTGCAAGGAAAGGCACTAGCACTCTGGGCAGCTCCATGCAGGGCTCAGGGTGGAGACTCCACAAGGCTTGGATAGTTAACCCTTTTCTGCTTGAGGGCCACATTGAGGATTTACCACACCTCTGTGGGCTGCATGCCAGCAGAGATACACACTGGGGGGGACAGGGATGCACACACTGGGCAAGACAGGCAGTCTTCACCCATCTCTACACAGAGAGAGAGAGACGGGTCCATAAGAGCAATTCAAATCATATCTATTCAGAAATAATTATATTCAGTAGAGCTTTCTGCTAGACAAAAGATATAAACCTGTGTTGCTGAGGTGTGTGGAAAGAGAGCAGAATTGGCAATCTTTAGCAGAGGACAGTACTTTTCAGGTACAGTAAACTCACAACATATACAGGGGTTATGTTCCGGGGTGTGTATGTGTGAGTGAGATCTCATGAGAGCTTCCCAGAGCTGGTAGGCAGGGTCTGCACCTTGCATAAAAACTCTTTCCACAGCAGGAAAATCCTGCACAAAAAGAGCTTTTAAGCTCTCCACTTTCCATGCATTTCATTTGTGTGATTTCAACCAACTGGCTATTAACCACATAATACTAAAATTGCATAAGTCGCAAGTTCACTGTAAATAGTTAAAGAGAAATCAGCATTTTGAGACTTTTCTAAAGTGCTGTATATTTGATTATAGCACAGCAAAATAGTGCTAGTTAATCCCCAGTTGACTGCTTTTGCTAATTGCTTGGCCGTTGTTCTTCTGTCTGTTTCCCACTGTGGTACCTTTGGCAACTATCACCAGTAATCATTAGTCTTCAACTTCAGAAGACATCACCATCAGTTCCCAAAACTGCACCCAGAAGCATCAACAGAGTGAATAGAACATTTTGGAGAGCACTTTGAAGCCTCAGTGCACAGGAAACTCCTGAAAGTAATCTGAGGGTGCTAGGTGAAACCCCAGGGAGGTTAGGAACAGCTTGAAATTGGGGGTTTTAAAAATCACACACAGATATTCCACAGAAATGTTGGGGTGCCCCACAGGGTGCTTCAAAAGTATTGGAGGGCTTTGTATGGCCCATGGGCTGCAGGTCCATGAGAGGTAGACTGTCTTGTTGTAACCCATTCTAGGAGCCTTCTTGGATGAATAATAAAATAATATAAATACTGCTTTAGCAGCATTCATCCTCAGGCTTCAGTGACAGGAGCCTCTTGTTTAAAGGACCCCTGCCTGTTGACTCGGGAAGAGGATAGACTGTGCTTCCACTAGGGCTTTTGCGCTGGAGCACTCTTGAGTCAGAGGACAGCAACATGGCATCCTCTGGCCAGAGAGTTACAGGCACATAAACACATGACATGCACATTCCACTTGCGCTTGACCATATTTACGCACGTTGCTGCAAAATTAATAAATTATATTAACCAGGGAATGGCACCAAAATGGTGCAAAAACAACTCATTATGAAAGCAGTGTGGAACGAAGCTTGTCATTTCAAGAAATCAAGCCTTGAAGACTTGCGTTGGACATTTGAAAGCAGAGAACTGCAACCTGTGCTGCTAACAAGTGATGCCACCCCTGAATCCTTCAAAAATATTAATCTTTGTGGATGCCAGAAGGGATGTGGAACTCCTTGGTGCAAGTGTAAAAACAGCAAAATGACATGTGCCACAAGCTGTAAATGTTACATTGCAGTTCGTACATGTGTAAGATCTGTGGACTCAACTTCAGCTTCAGAGCTCAACAGTGCTGCAGATCAAATTTGTAGATGTAGCAAAATGTATTGATTGAAAGTAAGAAAATTTATTTTAACTGCAGTGTCCTGTTTTATAATCTTCTTATCAAAATATCATTCATGATTTGGCACGTTAATATGCTCATGTGAGCCAGATAAAGGGTTTTGCAGGAAAGCCAACTTTGTACATGTGAAGAGATTTTTGAAAATTGTGTAAGTCACAATTTTTGTAATAACAAATAGTCTGTCTTTTCTGAAAAATGAATATGTTCACAATTTTTCAAGATAGCAATAAAGTTAGGCAACAGAAAAATTGGCAACCTACATTTTAAGATTCAGAACACTTTCTTGATGAACAGACACCATTTCTTCTTGTTGTTGTTTATACATCATCCTTTATCCGAAGATCACCGGGCGGTTTACACTATAAAAACACATAACATAATAGTAATTTTAAAAATCAATAACTCAGACACCCTGACACATTTAAAAGACCGTAGATTTTTTAATCAGCCAAAGCCCTGGGCAAATAATGTTTCCACTTGGTGCCTAAAGATATGAAATGGAGATGACAGGCAAGCTTCGCTGCGGAGAGCATCCCACCAGTGGGGAGCCATGGCAGAAAAGCCCCAGGTCGGTTCATATGGGGAGAGATGGTCCTTGAAGTGTTGCAGTCCTGAGCCATTTAAGCCTTCATAAGTCAAAACCAGCATTTTTAATCTGGCCAGGATAGGTGCCCCAGTGAGCAGCCTGCCCATTGAATTCTGCACCAGCTGTTTCCACGATTCCACCATTTTGTTCCTCAAAATTTGTCTGTTTATCTTTTGCAGGTGACCTTGGGCCTGAAGGTCCCCCAGGAGCTCCTGGAGAAAGGGGCCAGCCAGGACACGATGGAATCCCAGGCTCACCTGGTGCAAAGGGTGACCCAGGTGAGATATTTCTCTTCTTTTTCTTCTAGTATGTAATATTTTTACCACAGTAGATGCCTGATCATATACTTTAAACAAATCTTAATATATATTTTTAAGCAAGTGAAGATTGATGTTTTAGCCCTGCCAGTATCCTGAGGGATGGCAGGATACCCAGTGAATTGTTCAGATTCTGGGGACAATCTAGAAAATTTAAACACAATTAACTTCCTCCAGATGCTGCTCAGTATGTACACTGCAAATGCAACTATTTTTAACTGTTCAAATGAAAGTACGCTTTACACAGGGACCCGTGTACATGGCCACAAAATACCTCTTCAATTTTTAGGGATGGACAGCTAGAGCTTGACTATATAGGAATATGATAAACTCCACAGCAGTGATTCATGTGGCAAAATGATTATTGAAATGGTTTTGTCCTTGGCAAAATGTGCAAAAATGAAATTAAATAAAACTGCCACAGAAACTTGTATACACACGTCCTTATCTAGAAAGATTATCTTTGGTAGGTTGAATTATGGGTTGTTTTTCACTGTTCATGCTATTATTTCTACTTATAATAGAGTTTCCAGGGCAGCTGACATATTCCTTTGTGGCGGTTGGGAATGGTCACCTAAATTAATGTACTACCCACTGGCAAATGAAGAGGAGCGCGGGGGGGGGCGCATTGCCCCCAGCAGCGCGATCCCGGTGGGGTGCCATCGCGGCTGCCCCCCACTTGTGCTGAGTGCCACACCCCTGCAAGCAGTGTGCCACACCCCCGCCTGCTCTCCACCCCCCGGTGCCAGAGCATGAAGCTCCACCACTGGCACTACCCCAAGTCTTCTTGGTACCTTTTATGAACTCCAACCCAACTGAAGGGGGGTTTCTTTCTCTTGTCTGTCCCCTGCTTTGGTTGAGCCAGCAAGTGAAAGGAGCTCTAATGTATCCATTAGCTTTGCTCCTATCTTCATTCCCCTCAACTCTGGAGGTTTCCTCTGCAGCAGTGGCAGACTTTGGGTTCTCAAATTTCAGCAGCACGCTGTGTGACACTAAGAGACTGCTCGCCCCACCACCTCTGGCACTCTGTTCTACAGCTTTGTTGTGGTGCCCCCTGCAGCATGGCACCTAGTGTGGTTGAATCGGTTGTGCTGCTGTAAAATCACCTCTGCCCGCAGCTGCAGAGTACACACCTTCTATGGCCTCACTTTTCACTCAGATCTCTTTCCCTGTATCCCTGTATTTCGCTGTATTCTGCCCCTGGTTGCCTGGTTGCTTGCCTTCTGCTCTCTCACAGTCCCCAGAGATGTGGGTAGAGAAATATGAGTTCCGTAATGCTCCCCCATTCTCCTCCATGCTGTGTCCAGGCAAGATTTCTGGCCTACAAAAAGTGAAGAAAAGGCCAGAGAGAGACACTGTGAAAGTCTAACACAGTAATATAAGCTGGAGAAATAGAATTCCCAACTTCTTCCCACCCTAAATACTACAGTTTGCTCAGTTTAAGAACCCAGCAGGATTGGGGTGGGTGGGTGGGTGGGTGATAGATCCTTATACCTTGCTCTCAGTCACATAAAACAGCTTTTGCATGTGAGGCTGCAGTTCCTAAATCTTGTCTCCCTCTTGCTGTTCTAGCTTCTGGCTTAGCCACACACAGCCTCTTCAGGGCAGCGGGATGAAGGCTCTCCCTGCCCTGAAGAGGCTTCACACGGCTATCCCAGAAGCCAGAACAGTGAGAGGGATCGCTGCACAGCAACCCCTCTTGCTGTTCTGGCTTCTGGGATTCATAATATATTTTTTTCTTGTTTTCCTCCTCCAAAAACTAAGTGCGTCTTATAGAGCAAAAAATACAGTAGTTCATTTCTAATGTGTGAACCAGCATCAGGGGCTTTGATACAACAGTGAGATTTAATTTATGGAGAACATTTAAATTGCCTTACCTCGGTGCTACTGTCTTCATCTTACAGGTATTCCTGGTAGAGGACTTCCTGGACTTCCAGGTGCAAAGGGAGAACGAGGTAATATAAAATAACATCTCATGTAAAGCATACAGCCAAATAAAGAACCAGTTACATGCAAAACTAAAATATGATATATTTATTAGGCTGATGTGTCATCATAAAATAGGGAATAGCTTCATAGAGTGTGCATGCGTTGACACACTTGAAGATAATGACTGACTGATTTTAAAAGGCAGATTGCTGTCTGGAAAGCTGGGACATGAATAGGTTCTGTGAGACTCTTGGCAGGATCAGCTTTGTAAATAGAACATGTTGCCAAAGCAGTAGTTGTTGAGTTGCTGTGGTATAGGGTTAGTTGTGGTATAGGGTGTTAGATTAGGACCTGGGAGACCAGGGTCCAAATCTCCATTCAACCATGAAGTTCCCTGGGTGACCCTAGGCAACTCTCAGCCTAAACTACAGTCCATGGAGGATGGGAGGAAAAGTGGGATATAAAAAAAGCAAAAGAAAAGAAAAGAAAAGAAAAGAAACACACCAATCACACCTGAGTACTCCACCCCTTGTTCATTTTTACACACACTGTAATCCTCAACTGATGAGAAATTTAAGGGGTACCAGCACATACCTTGGGCTTGATTTCCTTAGAGTGACTGTAACTGGGGACTGTGTGATATATGGAGGGCTGTGATTTATTTCGAGGAGTGCTCCCCAATACCATAGCACTGGATCCTCACAGAAAGCAAGATCAGGCTTCTGTGTCTTTCCATCTCCACCTCCAATATGAGTCTGGTTATTATTCTTTCATATTCACCCTCCAACCAAGTGAGGAAGGAGAGCTTAGCTGCATTACCAAAACCATTCTCTCCTTCCAGAATTGCCTTGTCATTGACAGGCAGCTCCTTAAACAAACAAGGGTCATTAACCAGTGGCATCATCTTCATCATCATTATTATTGCACTGCCTTTCATCCAAAGATCACAGGGTGGTTTATGACTATTATTATTTATTGAATTTATATACTGCCCTATACCTGGAGGTCTCAGGGCAGTTCACAGAAAAGATCAACATAAAATCTACAGTACATATATATAATCAAAATAAAAACAACAACCCAATAACACACAACAACCAGAAAAGAGCCACATTTTAAAAGGGTATAGGATCTCAAACAGATCAACCAAAAGCCTGGTTAAAAAGGCACATTTTTGCCTGGCACCTAAATATAATGAAAGCACGAGGTGAACTTCCCTGGGGAGAGCATTCCACAGATGGGGCCCATTCTGCAGAGAACGCCCATTTTCATTTTGCCACCCTCCGGACTTCTTGAGAAGGAGGCATATGAAGGAGGGCCTCAGAATATGATCTCAGGGTCCAGGTAAGTTCATATGGAAAGAGGTGTTCCTTGAGGTATTGTGGTCCTAAGTTGTTTAAGGCTTTATAGGCCAAAGCCAGCACATTGAATTGGGCTCAGAAACTAATTGGTAGCCAGTGGACCAGGATCGGTGTAATATGCTCAGACCGTCTTGCTCCAGTGAGCTACCTTGCCACGTGGGGGATAGGACTGAGCCCTGCGGAACCCACATTGAAGGTTCCACAGGGCTGCAACCCTCTGGGAATGACCATCCAAGTAGGACTGGAACCACCGCAAAGTGGTGCCACCCATCCCTAGTTCAGAGAGTCACTCCAGAAGGATACCATGGTCAATTGTATCAAAAAGCCGCTGAGAGGTCGAGAAGAATTAACAGGGACTTGTTTCCTTGTCTCTCTCTCAACAGAGGTCATACAGGGTGAGCAGTTTCTGTGCCAAAACCATACCTAAACCCCGATTGAAATGGATCCCGAAAATCAGTTTCTTCCCAAAGCACCTGGATCCGGTCCACAACCACTCGCTCCAGAACCCTGCCCAGGAAAGGGAAATTAGCAACTGGCCGGTAGTTAGTTATGTTTTCTGAAACCAGGGAAGATTTTTAAGAAGCAGTTTTACCACTGCCTCCTTCAAACAGACAGGGACCTATCCCCTCGTAAAGAGGCATTGACCTCCCTGACCCAGCCAGCTGTTCCCTCCCCTCAAAATGCTTTGCAAACAAGACACAGCAAGCTATCACCTTCTTTGGGCCAGCCTGTAAAAGGCCGGTACAACCGGACGACATAATGAAGATGCAATGGAGGCAGCAAAGTATGCCTTCTTTGCTGACTTCACTGCCACTAGGTAGGCTCGATAATGAGCCCTTACCAGTGTTCGGTTTCATTCATTCAGATCTTTCCTCCACCTGCATTCAACTGTCTCCCAGCTTGCTTCCTTGCCCAAAGCTCTGGAGTACACCAGGGGGCCAATCGGGCTCTGTGAAGTGGTAGAGGGCACTCAGGGGCGATTGTGTCTTCCACTGGCTCCCACTGTGAAATCCACTGGATCCATCAGCCTCTGAGGGCAGACCTTCCTAATAGGTCCCCTCCCCCTGCGGAGGGGAAAAGGTACTGATATCCTAAATCTCAACAGGAAGTGATTGACAAGGGACTGATGTCAATGTCCCCCACCTTCAAATCACCCTCTTCCTGCCTAGTCGAGAAAACAAGGTCCAGAGTGTGGCCTGCCATGTGCGTTGGGCGGTGACATGTGGGGACAGCCCTATGGTTGTCATCATGGCCATGAGGTCCTGAGCCACCCCAGAGCCAGCTGCCTTGGCATGGATGTTGAAGTCTCCCAGAACCAGCAGTCTCGGAGTCCTCAATACCGCATCTGAGACTAGCTCTGTCAACTCAAGCAGGGAAACTGCTGGGCAGCGAGGTGAACGGTAAACCAGCAGAATCCTAGTCTGTCCCCATTCCCCAAACCTGGAACACACACACTAGACACCGCCCCCCCCGCCGCCACTGGACAGAGAGCCTGGAGATAGAGAGAGAATCTCTATAGACCACAGCAACTCCCCATCCCCAATGCTTGAGTCTGGCCTGATGCTGCACTGAGTACCCAATTGGGCACAGCTGGGTGAGACCCACTCCGCCCTGTTCACCCTCCCAGGTTTCAGTGATACATGCCAGATCAGCCTCCTCATCATAATCAGATTATGGATGAGGGAGATTTTATTCTGGGCTGACCTGACATTCAACAGCAGCAGTCACAGACCTGAGGGCTGGCTGATATGACAACCACAATTCCCCGAGTTGGAGAAGGGACTGGCACAGTCACTAACTCTCTGTCCCTCCTCCCAAGCCATACCTCCCCCTACCCAGAACCACTGAAATTGGGCCTCCCCATGCTCCTCCCTTCCCAGGCACATCCCACCAAGTACAACCCAGTTAAAAACAGTTAAAACACACAAAAAATAATTTAAAAGGATATAAAGCAGCAGTCCTTATAAAACCTGTCAGGGCCAGGTAGATAGAGGCAGGAGCAGGGCCCTCAGGCAGGAGGCACCCTGCCCTCAGGAGCAGGGTGGTTTACAACATAAAAACACAAATGACATAGTAACAAACAAAAGTAAGACAATCTCTAGTAGTTCTGCTTGTTCTGTTCACCCTCTCCTCAACAAACTTCTCAACCTGGGAAACAGCCTTACTAGAAAAATTAACCAATAAACTGAAACTGACACGGGGACAAAGACACCTTCACCCCGGTATGGCTCCCCTTTATCACATACACAACCCAACAAGACAATGACAAAAATCCACCAACAGCATACAAATCAGTATGGCTAACCTAATCCAAAACACCCACCCACCCCACTCATACATGAAAACAAAGATCACCACAGCCAACCACAAACAACCACACCCTAGGTCAACCCCAACTTTTCTCACCACCAAAGGAACACAAGTGAATAGCAGAGAACCTGCACAAGCAACGCTGACACAAAACCCCACATATATTAAGTATAATAGAAACATCGCCACCCAACCCCATTCACCTTTCCCCCCCCCACCTCTTTCCCCCCTCTTCTTCCTAATGTCTCAACAAATGAAACTGATCTGTAAAAAATGTTACTTGGAGGAAAAGAGAGAGAGACGTTGCACATACTTCTGTAAACCAAGAAAAGATATAATAATAATAATAATAGTCAACAACTTCTCAACCAAGACAGAGTGTGAGGGACTCCTCAGGTGACATCTATACAAACTTTGATAAAGTTGAAGAGGTTTGTTCCAGAGCTACAAACAACAGAACAGGCAGCTTTCTCTGTAGAGCGATAACACAGAATGGCTAATGCATTGAAAGCATCCGTGGTTATCAGAGCACAGTTACACACACACACACACACACACACACACACACACACACACACACCCTGCTAAGTTAAACTGTTTCCCCATCCCCAAAACAAGTTTCCAGTTAAATGTCATCTATTAAGCCTTCCATATTTTTTTCTTCATCCTGACCAAGACTCAGTTTCAGACATTTACTAGTCCCCACACTTCATATGTCTAAGATAACGAGTTTCCTAAATGATTGTCATTTTAAATCTTAGGTGCAAAAGGAGATGTGGGCTCCCCTGGCTCCCCAGGAAGTCCAGGGATTCCTGGTACAAAGGGAGAAGCAGGATTTCCTGGCCCTCAGGGTCCTTCAGGCCAACCAGGTGTTCCTGGACTGCCAGGCAAAATTGGAGAGGGACCTAAGGGTGACCGGGGACCTCAAGGCCGACCTGGGCTTCAAGGTAAGAGTATTTATAGACAACATACAGTTGTACCTTGTAAGTCAAACAGCTTAGTTCCCAAACATTTTGGCTTCCAAACGTCGCAAACCCGGAAGTGACTGTTCCGGTTTGTGAACTATTTTTGGGAGCTGAAGGTCCAACAGGGCTTCCACATTTCCGATTGGCTGCAGGATCTTCCTGCAGCCAATCAGAAGCCACGCTTTGGTTTTTGAATGTTTTGGCAGTCGAACGGACTTCCGGAACAGATTCTGTTCAACTTCCAAGGTACAACTGTACCTGTATGTGTTTTTACAAACTTAATGAACAATTAATGTACAATGATCGTCCAACAGTACTTATTCAAGAACAAAAAAAATTGAGTGAAAGAATTTCATGCTGGTCTATTCCCAAAATGGAAATGTTGATGTTATGC